GGGCTTGCAGAGCCATTTATCTCTTTTCCCTCCAATAAAACTGTGACCCAATTAATTCCACATGTTCCCATTGGCCAGGTTGGTACAATAAACCTAACTATCACAGGGGCCATTCATTAAGGATGATACCCATGATTTGGTGCCTATCTGTATGTTGGTCTGACCCTTGGCCAGTCAGTCATGCAACAGGCCCCCTGACAGCAGCTGACCAGGATCCTTCTGTGTCCAGTGAGCAAACTAGGAGCCCCCTGGCCAAGCATCAGCATCAGGCACAGTCAGATTTCCTGTCCTCGCTGTGTCTCTGTCCCAGCAACCTGAAACTCAGGGCCCAGGCTCTGGGCACCTAGGCTTCCTGCAAAAAAGGCTGGACCTTCCTAAGTGTTTCTGGGGCCCAGTTTTTCTCAGGGCCTCTCTGCAGTTCCCCAGTGGCACTATTGCCAGAACACCCCCAGCCACAGTTGTCTTTCTCTGGGTGCGCCAATCTCCAGTTAACCATGGGCAACAGAGAAGATTAAGCATACCTCGTCATGTCCAGAGCATGTGAGTCCCACCATGTCCTTTCAGCACCCCAGGTGCTCTGTGGTGTCCCTGCCCTGGCGCGTCACGTCCATGGCACGGACAGGGGCTAGCTGCAATGCCCAAACACTCCTTCCTAGAAACACCATCAGGGAAGCTGGAAAACACACACACACTGGCGAAGACGAAGAGGAATCCATCATCAACTGTGCCTAGGTTCTGTTGACCTAATGGATGCTGTTAAATTGAACTGGTTTCTTGAGTGCTGACTAAGAAGAGTCTGGAAATAGGCGAAGAATGTCCCGGCAGCTCTCCTAGAGACCTGCAGGGGCTGTCATGTTTCCCAAACAAATGTCACTAAGGAAGCCCTATAGCAGATGGAGTTCTGGGCCCTGGTGGTCCAGAAGTCAGGCTTTGGGCATCAGAGAAGCAGTGAGGCTGGAAGGGCAGCCTTCTCTGGGGGCTCGGAGCTGACAGGGCCTCCCTGTGTCTGCAGCCTACCCCTGGGACCGGTCCAGCCTGAAATCCATGTCCCTGGATGTGCGGCAGTTTGAGAAACTGGACACCTATGCCTCTCAGGTAGGCAAGCCCAGTCCCTCTGGCCCTGAGCCCCCACATGGTGGGTTGGAGTCCCCTGACCCAGGCAGCAAAGCTTCCCCCAGGACCCTCCTGAACAGAGCCCAAATCACTTGGGCAGATTCCCTGGGAGTGCCCTTCCACCACACGTGGGTAGGGTACAGAGAGCCCACAGCAGCAGGCCCTGGCCCAGGACCAAGGTCACAGTATCCCCCACCCCCACCCCCCTGTCCATCCATGTTCCAGATGCTCCAGCCGCTGTAGCACACCCTCCAGCAGCCCCCCCTGGCCGGCCTCTCTTCCCAGCCTGGCCCAGGCCTCCTTGGGCCCATTTGGGCTTTGTTGCTCTGGGCCATGCAGCCCCCAGCAGTGGAGGAAGAGTGGGAGGGGAGGGAGGGCAGCATTGGTGCCAAGGACCAGCACCCACTGTGATCCCAGCAGAGGTGTGACCTGCCAGGCTCTCACACGTTGGGCCTGGGTATACCAGGCTATGGGGAGGGGCCAACTGCAGAAGCTGACACATTCAGGGCGCCCAGGGTATGGGGTGGTGGTGAGCGGGGAGTCTTGGGAGCCAGTCTGACAGGACAGACCACTGAGCTGGGCCACAGAGAAGCACCTGGGCCATAGGTAGAGAGCGTCCAGAGCACAGGTTTCCAGGTTTTTTTGGCCTACCACCCCTTCTCAGAGAAAAAAATTACTCAGGGCCACCCGGCAATTAAAAATGTCTATCACACATAATCCAATATAAAATATTGGTATCTACTCCTACAGCCCCCCAGGATTGCCCCAGAACCCACTGGGGTTAGTATTGCCTACTTTGGGGAATGCAGATGCAGCGTTTTGGAAAGAATAACCTGGTGGCATGGTGGGCCCTACTCTGAACTGCTAGCCGCGGTCAGCAGTTCGAACCCACCAGCCACTCTGTGGAGAAAAGGTGTGGTTTTCTACTCCCATAAAGATTTAAAGTCTTGGAAATCCAAAGGGGCTAATTCTACCCTGTCCTATAGGGTCACTGTGAGTTGATTGTGAGTCAATGGCAGGGACCTTATGGTTGGAACACAGTAGGTGTTCACAAATTGATGATTGAAGACACAGGTCAAGAAGATCAAATCGGTGTCAGCTGGAGGTCATACAGCTGTCCAGGCAGCAGGTGGGGAGCATTTAAGACAGAGAAGAGGGCAAAGGTCAACCCTAGGGTGTGTGGAGGCAGGTGGAAGGTGGAGAGGGGGTGGTGGGGCTCCCGGAATGCTGAATTGCAGGAGGTGCCGAGAAACCCCTCACCATGAGGAGCACGGGATATGGAGCGTGGGGGGCGGGGGTGGGGGTGGGCATGTCTGGAAGACAGTGGGTTCTGGGCGCCCGTAGTGCATCCAGTGGAAATGCCCACTGGTCTCTGCTAAGCACGTCTGGCCTGGACTCAGACTCGGGAGTGTCCAGATTTCGCTCAGAGCTGAGGTCCTGGGGAGAGTGTCAGGCTGAGGAGAGCTGGCTGGTGGGGAGAGTCTGAAGGGCCTAGAACCAGAGGTCAAACCAGAAAGGGTCCTGGGCCTGAAAGGTCCAAGGAGGGGTTTCCAGAGGGCAGGCTGGTCAAGTGAGATGAAGACAATCTCATTGCTGCTGCTTTGGCTGCTCATTTCCAGAGAGGCAGGGCAGAGAGGAGGCTGCAGGCCTCTGCTAGACTCCGGAGGGTGAGGCTCTAAGAGCAGGTGAAAGCGAGGGAGCAGCCGCACGCACTGGAGCTTAACACAGGAGAGGCTAGCCTGGGAGGGATGGGGGGGGGGGGGGGGGGGGGGGGGGGGGGGGGGGGGGGGGGGAGCTGGAGGTGAGATGCAGGAGAGGGGGACAACTGATGAATGGAGAGTGGTTCTTGTGAAGGCTTAAGGGATGAGAGAACGGAAAGATGGGAGGATGCAGGGTCCAAGATCCCTGCCTTCGCCTCTTGGGAGCCCAAAGCCAGGTGTTCTGCTTAATGAGGGAAGGGTGCCCAGAGGCTGAGGAGGGCAAGGTGTTTGGTGGCAGCCGCCAAAAAGCAGTGGGACCGGCTGCTGATGATTCCGCTCAGATCAGAAGCTCAGGTAGGGCCAGGATGGAGCCAAAGGACCAGAAGCCACAGAACTGAAACTTGGGGTTTTGTCAGGAGTCACTCAGGCAGTCGTGAGGCCCTATGATGTATCAGGTGCTCTTCTGGGCCCCAGGAGCAAAACAGAGACAACATCACGGAGGCTGCATGGACACAGAAATGAAGCTAAGAGAAGCAGGCAGGAAGAAAGTAGGGCCAGAGGCCTCCTTAAAGTACAAGGACCTGCGAGGTGCAGGGTGGTCAGAGGGAGGGGTCCTGGGGTTCAGATGGGAATAGACAAGGGAGGGCCCTGTAGGAGGGCACTGGGGTGGGCCACGGGTGCCAAGACCATGCGACAAAGACCATGCATCAGAAAGCTCCAGTATAGTCAGGGCTGCCTTTCCAGCGTCTCCCTCCACTTCCTGCTGCAGGCCCCTCGAGAAGAGCCTGCTGGTGCTAGACCCTGGCTGCTCCAGCGGGGCACTCCCCGAGGACCTGCTGAGGAAAGATGGGGTAGCTCTGGGACCAGGGATGTGGCTGGCCCACCGCGCCCACCCTCTCCAGCCCCTCAGCACAGTCTGTATCCCTCCTCTTCCTGGGGACAGTGGCTCCGGGTGCGGTGACAGGGTGCTGGGCACCCCACCACCCTCGTGCAGCCCTGGCACAGCCCGCCACTCCTCCGCCCCAGGTGACGGTCAAGAGCGGCCTGGACGAGCTGGTGGACGAGCTGGTGCAGGAGGCCCAGAGTGACCTGGAGCGAGTCCGGGCCGTGTGGATCTGGATCTGCCACCACATAGGTAGGCAGCCCCTGTGTGCGTTGGCTCGGAAGCCCTGGTCCCAGGGGAGTCTCCCCGAGACTTGGTCCCAGTGATGTGGGCAGAGAAGGGGTGGCAGAGAGGGACACCCAGAGAGCCTGGCTAGTCAACCATGGGCCAACAGTCTCCATAGGCAGGGGTGGGGAAGCGGGTCCCACTCAGCTCTCTGCTGGCCCCCTTCTCCCTCTGGTCCCCTGATACACCTGCCCCACCGAGATGAGAACCCAGAACCGAGGGCCATCTCCACGGAGCGTGACTATGGGTTGGGGAGAACACACAGCCTTTGGAATGTGATTGCAACCTTGGAGAGGGGAGTGGGCTCTCCTCTCCCTGCCCCCACCATGTTCCCTCACTGGCCACCTCGCCACTGACCCCAGCCCAGGCTCCTGTGCGGCTGCCCTCTACTCTCCGCAGGACAGTCTGGGGAGTCTCACCAGGCGAGACTCCCTGGAGAAACTGCTAAGGGGCTGGTGTTGCTAGGGTGGGCTTGAAGACACAAGTGAGTGGGAGGACGAGATCAAGGGGCAAATGCCTAGTGATTTCGGTGAGGCCAGTGGGGTCGCCTGCCTGCCTGCCTGCTGCTCCCTGGTCATGAGCTGGCAGCTGGGGAGCCTGTGGTGGCATGGAGGATAACCCTGAGAGGCTGCTTCCTGCCCCCTCAACCCCATCTGCCGAGCCTTGACCTCAGAGAGACAGGAGCAGAAATCAGAACCAGAACCTTTCAGTCATATTTCTTTCACCATTTCCTTCCATTCTCTCTCTCTCTCTCTCTCTCTCTCTCTCTCTCTCTCTCTCTCTCTCTCTCTCTCTCTCTCTCTCTCCAGCGCTCCATCTAAGATCAAATCGGTGTCAGCTGGAGGTCATACAGCTGTCCAGGCAGCAGGTGGGGAGCATTTAAGACAGAGAAGAGGGCAAAGGTCAACCCTAGGGTGTGTGGAGGCAGGTGGAAGGTGGAGAGGGGGTGGTGGGGCTCCCGGAATGCTGAATTGCAGGAGGTGCCGAGAAACCCCTCACCATGAGGAGCACGGGATATGGAGCGTGGGGGGCGGGGGTGGGGGTGGGCATGTCTGGAAGACAGTGGGTTCTGGGCGCCCGTAGTGCATCCAGTGGAAATGCCCACTGGTCTCTGCTAAGCACGTCTGGCCTGGACTCAGACTCGGGAGTGTCCAGATTTCGCTCAGAGCTGAGGTCCTGGGGAGAGTGTCAGGCTGAGGAGAGCTGGCTGGTGGGGAGAGTCTGAAGGGCCTAGAACCAGAGGTCAAACCAGAAAGGGTCCTGGGCCTGAAAGGTCCAAGGAGGGGTTTCCAGAGGGCAGGCTGGTCAAGTGAGATGAAGACAATCTCATTGCTGCTGCTTTGGCTGCTCATTTCCAGAGAGGCAGGGCAGAGAGGAGGCTGCAGGCCTCTGCTAGACTCCGGAGGGTGAGGCTCTAAGAGCAGGTGAAAGCGAGGGAGCAGCCGCACGCACTGGAGCTTAACACAGGAGAGGCTAGCCTGGGAGGGATG